AGTCACTGGAACTCGGAGCGAGCCGCGATGCCATGCCCACCTCGGGACTCGATCGCGAAGCCACAGCTGAAGCGGTCTCATATGAACAAACCGAGCGGCGTACCGCGGATGCCATATGCCCCAGGAGCCTCTGAATAGTTTCAGTGGAACCGCACTCTTGCCCTCGAACTGTCGAAGACAAGCCAGCAGTGAGTGCGCGCGCTCGTTCGTGAGCTGCGCGGACATGGCGACCGAGTCTATCTCCATGCCGAGAAAAGAGATCCTCTGCACGGGGCAAAGTTTGCTCTTTTCCCGGTTGACCCGAAGGCCCAGACGGGCTAGGTGCCGTAGCACCAGGTCTCTGTGTTCGCAAACCTGAGCTCGAGAGTGTGCTAGTATCAGCCAGTCGTCGAGATAGTTCAGGATGCGAACCCCGTGTTCGCGAAGGGGAACAAGGGCTGCCTCGACGATCTTCGTGAAGACGCGAGGGGACAGAGCTAACCCGAATGGGAGAACGGCGTACTGGTATGCCTGGCCCTCGAAGGCAAACCGAAGAAACGGTCTGTGTCGAGGGAGAATGGAGACATGGAAGTACGCGTCCTTCAGGTCGATCGCTGCAAACCAATCCTGATACCGAACACATTCGAAAATGCGTTTGGCCGTGAGCATTTTGAACGGTAGTCGATGGAGAGAACGGTTCAAAATGCGCAGGTCCAGGATCGGTCGTAACCCACCGGTCTTTTTTGGGGACAATGAAGTAGGGGCTGTAAAGCCCGGACCTCACCTCGGCTGGAGGGACCGTCTCGATTGCACCCTTCGCCAGCAGGGTCGCAATCTCCGGTCTCAAGACTGGGGCATTGCCACCAACCATCGTGGAGCGAACTCCCCTGAAGCGGGGAAGAGACCGTGCGAACTGGATCGCGTAGCCGAATCTGATCGTTCTGATGACCCAGCGGGATACCCGGGAAGCGCTAGCCAGGCTTCCAGGAAGTGAGCCAACGGGGTCATGCGAACCACAGACGTCCCCCCGGAGGGGCAGCGAGGCGGGTCGACCGGCATGCGTGCAGGAGTTACCCCGTCCGGATGCACCGTCGAAACCCGCTCCCCGACAGAAGAGACCAGGGAAGGCAGAGCGTTCCACGGGGGTCTGTTCTGCCGGGGGTCTGGCGACAGAGGGGGAAGGGATTGGCGTAGCCCGGGGACGACACACGCACCCTTCCGCGCCCTCCGAGACAGAGAGGAATGAACGGGGCGACGCACTGGACGTCGTGCGCGCTCATTCCAGTCTGTGTGCTCAATGACAGTGTCAGCTTTTCCTCAACCAGCTCAGGGAGCTAGCTAGAACAAAAGATTCTCCACCGGCCCTCCACCGGGGAAGGAGGGGCCCTGCCACCGCCTCCTGAGAAAAACCATGACACTATCACTGAGCGGCCCGCCTCAGGAACATCGCTTCGCCTGGCGTTTAGTGGGGCACACGGCCTGAGGGGGGGGGGACGCTTACCTGTGGAGAGCGAACCGGCTGAAGGCTGCTGCTGGGGCCGCGTGGGAGGGAAGGGAGCCGCAGGGGGGCGTCCTCGGCAGCGAGCTGGCGGAGGCGTCCGAGCCGACGGCTGGTTGGAGGCAGCAGCTGGCCGTCGGGGCAGAGAAACCGCCTTCGTCTGCTCCTAGGCGGTCGAGAAGTGCTGGGCAAAGTCCTGGACCGCACCGCCGAACATTATGATGCTCCTGGACCACAGCGGTGGGCATCACCTGACCAAGGGAGCGAGCGACCGCCTCCGTGACCCGTTTAAGGACAAGGTAGGCGGCAGGCTCGCAGCTCGCTTGGTCCGTCACCTCCTCGTGCACATTCCTGAGCAGCTAGCTTTGTAGGTGCTCATCATATGCAGGGCGGAGGCTGCCTGTCCCGCCGCTCTACAGAATCGCGCCGCCATAGACGACGAGAACCCATAGGCTTTGGAGGGGCATCTGAGAGCAACCGCCGGTTGACCGGGGGAGCCCCAGCGTACCCACAGACAGCCGCATCGCCGAGGGGAGGAAGGGCGGGGAACTGAAGCACGCTTTTTTTTTTTTTTTTTTTTTTTTTTTTTTTTTTTTTAGTGCGTGTCAGTTCCGCATGCAACTCGGGGAAAAAAAGGAAATTGGGGTTGGCCGTGGCCGTAAGGCGGCAGCGTTACCCAAAAACCAATTATCCAGCCGCGAGAGATCGGGATAGGGCGGAGTTCCACCCCCACCCGATGCTCACGGAGGCCCGAGATAGCACGGCCATCATCGCAGGATCAGACACGGCGACGCCGACGCTCCCGAGGGAGGCAACGCGGCCGCATCCTCACTTCCCGAGGAGTCAAGCCCGCCTTGTGATGCTGCGATCGTCATCGCATCATTCTCTGGAGCGCCGAGCGAAACAGACGGTACCTCAGAGAGGCAGACGTCTGAAGCGATACAGCGCTCACTGGCTCTAACACTGAGCGGTGGGTGTGACCCGAGAAACTAACGTCGGGTTTTTTTTCACACATTCACCGTCATATCACCCTATCCGCGAGTCGAACAGCTTCTATTTTAAGAAGCAGAACGAGTAACGGACACGGGGACTCTCACTATCAGATCATTGAGTCTCGATCACAGTGTAGAGATGCTCATGTTCCCATTCAGAAGGAACATGAAACATCCGCGAACGCTGCTCTGCATGCTGAAGCCCAGGCACACACAGAGCAGCGATCGCGACCATCAGAGAATGACATGAGACGAACGCACCCAGAAGAACACGGGCGAGTCGTCTTTAAAAAGACGTGCCGCGTGCAGCTCTTTCACTTAAAGAGAGGAGGAAATTCACTCTTTCAGCGCTGAGGCGACCAGGGAGAAGCGCAAAGTCTGGCAGACCACTGCTCAGATCGCAGGCAATGCAGAGTCTCGCTGGGTACCGCCGTCACACCAACACTGAAGAGGACGCTCGTCTCGAAGAGTCTTGAACAGTGAGAATGGCTTTCAGGAGTGAAGAGTTCTCTTGGCTCCGAAGCGAAAACATACTGCGGTTGCGTTCACTTCCTCCTTTTATACTCACGGAGTAGGGCGGAGTACGCTATGCAAAATTCCGCAGCCCCAAGGCATTGCATGCCATTGGCTCGTTTTTAAATACTCGAAGAGGATTGGCTTTCTATGCGAAACCCCCAATCTCCGTCACTTCTGACGTAACTCGAAGTGACTACGAAAGGGAACTGTACTTCTGGCCAAACAGGAGAGATCATAAAATTCATATCTGACCAAACACATGATTGACATGGGTGTTTTTATAAACCATCACTGGTAGAGGAGTCATAAATAGACAGTCAAAAAAATGTTAAAACTACTAGAAATCGAATCAAATATTTGTCTTCATATTTGGGGAAATATAATGTTATCGATTTCTACAAAAACACATTATGTCCCATGCAAGCTAGACCCCCATGAGTGACAGCTTACTTTAGGCAACATTTGCAGCCCTGTTGCTACATAGCACTTCATTAAAGAAGTTAGATGGCATTGTTTCTCAGCATGAGAGGGCAACAATATATATATATATATATATATATATATATATATATACCCATAATAAATAAATAAGAGTTAAAATTGGAAAGGTTTTTATTTTATTTTAATGTTATTGTTTCTTCTAAGACATATGGTTAAAAAAAGTCAACAGAAAGTAGTGTTGATAAATACTAAATTTGGTATTGCATCAGGGATGGACTTGACTTGGTCCTGGTCACCAATGCACAGGGCAATGTTAAAATCAAGATGGAAATAATCATGATTTCGCTTTGCTGAAAATAAAGATTTATGTTAGACACATATCCTATACACTCTGTCACTAATTACATAAAAATGTGTTAAATATTGTACATTTTAAAATGTTTTCACTTTTATCAAACATTTAAATTTTTAATAGAAAGTGCATCATGATTATAAAGTGAAATAAGGTAAGCCCTTGCCACAAAGCAATTTTTAAGACTCAATGTGACCATCATAAATCAAGTCAGTCTGTTGTATAATTAATACTTACAAACATGTTCACATGAACAGTAGGCTTCCTGTCAAGTCAACATTATTTGTATAGTACATTTCACAATAGTTGTTTCAGTGGAGCATTCCAGATAATGTGTGATGACAAAATTCCAGTGAAAAGCCAATCAAACAAAAGATCAGCAGAGGATGGGTTGTGAGAAAACAATGAATGCAACTGTGAATTGATGAAGTTCCATGTTGTTTTACAAGTTGGCCCTTTTGATGCGATCACATGGTATTCCAATAACGGCTCAGGTCATGTGATCATGGCCACATAAATAGTGAATCAGAATCAATCTGTGAGTCAGACTGCCTGATAATCCATTATTTTTTTTACTGAGGCTTTGATGACCAGCACACTGCAGCAATGTCAATGAATATGGGATGGAAAGACCAGGAGGACGCCACTCCAGATATGCAGAAGTTCTGCAATGAGGTAGGAAACAGATCATCCAACATGTATAGATTGCTGAGCAATATGAGTCCACAATTTTAATTAAGGTGTGCTCTAGGCGAAGAGAACTCGCAAACTTCACTAGACCTTTAAACAAACTATATATTGGGATGTAAACTATCAACTGAATGAAAATAATAAAAACAGGTGGCTCTGCTTGTAAAAACATTTTTTTTTCCAAAGACATCCATAAACCATATTTCAGTTGAGTAGAGAAAGGGCCCAATTCATTGGTTTCAATTTCAGATATTTTTTACTTCCCATACACCAAACAACAACAAAAATCAGTTCTTTGGAGAAAACAAAAAATCGTACAAACGTACAATCTTTATTGTGTGCTCGTCACTATTGTGTTTATGCTATGTGTAAATGTTTATTCAGTTAAACATGTTTTTTTCACAGTTGGTTTTGACAATTATACTAAACTAAATCTTATTGTATGATATGATATATAAAAAGAGTGTATAAATCTGTTTCAGGTAAAGACAAGCATAGAGAAGAAGCTTGGGCAGAAGAGTATTTTCACTTCCATCAACTTCAGAGCAGTTGACACTAAAATACATTACATAGCCAAAGTAAGTTTTATTATTTTATTTTACATCCCTTTAGCTCAAACAGTAGAGCACAGCACTAGCAACGCCAAGGTCATGGATTTAATTTCTAATGAATGAACTGATAAAATGTACCTTAAATAGAATGTGAGGCACTTTGGATAAATGCGTCTACCAAATGCATAGATGTAAATGTATTTTAAAAGAGTATGGCTGGATCTGAGCCTGTGAATTCACCACACTCAAGCTGCAGTTTTTCTTCCATCTACTAATCATGTTACAGTGTGAAATCAATGTGACGGCTCTCTCTTTCTCTCTCAGGTGTATGTTGGAAACAATGAATGTGTTCATGTGAAAATGTCTCAATCTCTCCCTTGCTATGGAGGGGAAGTGAATCTGGATCAGTTCCAGTATCCCAAAAATACAGAGAATGAAATCGAACCCTTCTGAAAACTTCTGAACACATTATTCAGTCCTCACGGAGAGACTCATACAACACTTTTCAATAAAGTCTTGAAGCACAACTTTCTTTGGTGTTACTTTCTTTACTGTCAGTTTGATCTTCTCCCTACATGAAACTTAAAATGCAAAGAGTAAATTATGTATATGTAAAGATAAGTAATGAAACATCTGTATTCTTTGACAGTATCTAAATAATTCATAACAAGAACTCTCACTGTGACCATCTATTTTTTATAATTTATTTCTTCAGCTCGAAGAAGCTGCAAATACTTCACTTTTTAGGGGTTTGCCAAATGATGATCCATGTATTTTTTCTTTTTATCTAAAGCTGCTTTGAAACAATGTATATTGTGTAAAATGCTATATAGATAAAACTAACTTGACAAAAAAAAAAAAAAAAAACACGATTAACAGTATTGAGGAGGGTATGAATGTTATATTTTTGTCTGTGATAAATGGTGTGCTAAACTTTTAAGTGGTTATATTCCATTGTCAGTCAAAAAGACTCCCTAATGTAGAATACAAAGATTTTTGTGATACATTTTATCTTCACTGTTCAAGTAGAGAGAGAAAGAGAGAGAGAGAAAAGATGGACATATATATATATATATATATATATATATATATATATATATATATATACACATGCTTTGCATCACAGAAATAAATGATATTTTTTAAAGTATATTAAAATAGAAAACAATTATTTTAAATTGTAAGAATTTATGTATTTTGGATCAAATAAATGCAGGCTTGATGCGCATAAGGGACTTCTTTCTTTCTTTTTTAAATAGTAATGTGTGTGAAAATTTTGACCAATAGTACTATTGCTTTTGACTATTGCTGCAAAATTATAAAAAATGTTAAAAAAAAAAATGAAGTCACCATTTGTTGTCAGCCTACACTTAACATAATAGGCCTGTAGGCCTGGGCCAGGGGTCTCAAACTCAACTTAACTGGGGGCTGTTTGAGATAGAGTCTGGGTCAGGCCGGGCCGCATCAAGTATTCCAAAAATGGAGCACAACTGATCCAATCTTCTCAATCTTTATTATTAACGTTTCTTCTGAACTGTTCCTCTGAATTTCAACATTACTTTCTGTACATGATTGGTTCTTCATGAGCTGTCCTTCTGACAGTTGAAGTTCATTTTACAAACTTTCTTTGCCTTTTTCTTAAACACAACATATTTGTGATAGTCATATTTACTTTTTATTTTCTTTATACAACACTATTATATTGAATGTTTTTTTTTTTTAGGAAGGCACATTTCCTTTTATTATACTTAGAAAAACTTTTTTTTTTTTTTGAAATACAGATAATTCTTTCTACACATGGAAACTGAAGCCTCTCTGGGGGCCGCCATTGTAGCTGACTATCACCTGCTGTTAGCATTCCATTGACTCCCATTCATTTTGGCGTCACTTTGACAGTGAATAACTTTACATATATTAGAATTTATTATTAGGATTTACCCCTTGAGATGTATCATCTCGTTTTCGAGGGGGTCCTTACAGTGAAACAATTAGAACTAACAAAAACATAACAAAATTACAATTTACAATACATCAAACAAGACACCAACAATACACAAAAAAAGAAGAAAAAAAAAAGAAAACAATGTATACATATACATACATACTGTATGCACACACATATACATATAAGCAACAATACACAACAACAATACACAAAGCTACAACACCAGTTTCAATAATAGCATGAGCAGTCTACTTTTAAATAAGGTAATAAAGATTGTTTAAACAACCGAAGTGAAGTAATGGATCTAATACCTGTAGGTAAATTATTCCAGTCTAATGGAGCTTTAAACATAAATGCTCTCTTACCAATTGTTCTTTTAACACGAGGAACAAAAAAGTAAGTCTGGACGGAATGCCTAATTTGATAGTTTGAGGAAAAGAGTACAAAATATTGTTGTAAATAACTAGGATAATCAAAATAAATACATTTAAATATAAATTGAAGCCAATGCATCTGCCTTCTCACATTCAAGGGTGACCACTGAAGTGCATCATACATTGTACAGTGGTGAGTGGAAAAAGAACATCCTAAAACAAATCTACAAATTCTATTATATGCTAAATTAAGTAAAACAAGATCAGATTTTAATGCCGTCTGATAAACTATATCACAGTAATCAAAAAAACGGAAATATTAATTGAGCAACTAGTTTCTTACGAACATTGTAAGTAAAGCAATTTCGAGATCGATACAAAATACTCATCCCAACATTGACTTTTCGCAAGACATGATTAATGTGAGGTTTAAAGGAGAGTTCAGAATCAAGCCATACACCAAGGTACTTAATAGTATCAACTCTATGCAGAGGAGTGCTGTCTTTACATGATATAGCACAAGAACAGGTTTTTGAGTTAAGTTTATGTCTAGAACCAAAGATCATGATGTATGACTTGGATTTATTCAGTACTAATTTATTAGCCAAAAGCCAGTCTTGTAGACTATTAAAATCAGATTGAAGAAATAATTGAATTTGTATAGGATCTGAATTACTGTAGATATGACAGTGTCATCCGCATAAAGTTGCACTTGACAATTATTGAGAAGCAATGGTATATTATTCACATAAATGGAAAAAAGAAGTGGTCCCAAAACAGAACCTTGAGGCACACCACTTTGTTGGACCAAAAAATCAGATTTGTTTCCATTTAAGACAACACATTGTTTCCTATTGTGCAGATATGAATTAAACCACAAAATAGTATTTTTTAAAAAACCAATAGCATAAAGTTTATCTAAAAGCAAATAATGATCAACCAAATCAAAAGCTTTAGTCAAATCAAGAAAAATAGCACCTGTGAGCTTGCCGTTATCTGAAGCTGAAAACATTTGTAAACTTTAGTAGTGCAGTAGTTGTAGAATGGTTACTCCTAAAACCAGATTGAGATGGTGATAGAATATTATTAATACATAAATAATTTGAGAGTTGTTTATGAATTATTTTTTCGAAAACTTTGGATATAGAACATATAATAGATATTGGCCTGTAATTATTGATATCAAGTACATCACCTCCCTTATAAAGTGGAGTAATACGTGCACATTTCCAGATCACCGGCAATTCACATGTAAACAAAGAAAGATTAAATAAATCAGCTAGTGGATACATAAGAATATGTGAAGTTAATTTAAGATACCTATTTTCAATTCCATCTAGTCCTGCACCACTGGTCAATTTTAATTCATCGATGGCACTCTGAACATCAATTGGAGCAATCCTCCCAAATGAAAATGAACTATTGGACGATGCAGTCATATTAGAAATATTAGTGTTCAAGTAAGAGGCAGATACTAAAGAAGACCAAACTGAAGAAAAATGCTGGTTAAATTTTTGCGCGATAGATAAGTAGTCATGAAGTATAGTATTATCAACTCTAATTTGATTAACGAAATGTTTATTTGATGTATTAATAATGTTTTTCATTTTATTCCAAAATTGTTTAGGATTTTTATAATGAAGAGAAAGACATTCTTTGTAGTAATTAGACTTTGCATTTCTAGTTTTTGTCTTGCTTGAATTTCTCAAATGCCTATAAACTTCCCAATCAACATTACTTCTTGTCTGACGAAATTTTGTCCATGCTTTGTCCCTTTCCCTAAAGAGACTAATAAGTTCTGAATTAATCCGAAGGAAGATGATTGCCCTTAACCCTAACAGTTTTCCAAGGTGCATGCTTGTTTACAACATTTATAAACTCAGTATAAAAAAAAATCCCAAGCGTCTTGAACATTTGGAATTAAATTATATCTATTCCAATTAACAGAAATCAAATCTTGAATAAATAAATCTAAGTTCAGTTTTTTATATTGTCTGATTTTAATTAATTTTGGTGGCAATTTAGGTACTTTAATTTTCCATACACAAAATATAATCGAGTAATCACTAAAACAATCAGGCATCACACCTGACTTTAAAAATCTATTTGGATGTGAAACAAGTATCCAATCAAGAAGAGATTGTGTGCGAGAAGTGATTCTAGTAGGCTCAGTAATTAATTGGGTAAGATTTAAATTATTAAACATATTTTTCTCTTTATTACATGATGTATCCAACCAATTCTTATTGAAATCACCTAATAAAATCAACTAATTTTTACCAAAAACTGAATTAATAGTAGATATCAGGCAGTTACAAGACTCAACTGGTGAGGAGGGTGGCCTGTATATGCTACCAATAATTATACATTTATTTAAATGAAAAACCACCTTAACAAAAATACATTCAGAATATAAAGGATCAACTGAGGGTATAATTAATTCAGAAACAAAACTTATAGAAACATATATAGCCACACCTCCACCCCTAGAGCACCTGTCCAATCTATAAACTACATAATTGGTTAAATTAATTTCGACATCTGAAACATTGCTATTGAGCCATGTTTCCGAAAGTGTGATAACATCAGGCTTATTTAATTCAACCCACGCACGAAGTAAATCAATTTTAATCAATTTAATCCGTTGCACGTTCGCTGAGCCAGGATGAGAACGCACGGATATGTCAAGCCAGGTGTATATAGTTTGGATAAATGTACGTTCACGGCATTCTTAAAAAGAGCGCGAAATCGATCACAGAATCACCGATCCAAAAATGGACAAAACGCGTTCGGCATACTTTTCACCTGAGCAACAGCTTCTTATGGAAACGTATGAAGAAGTGAAACATATTATATGTAAAAAAAAAAAAGCTAATTTTTTACATATTATATGTAAAAATGCTGTAATAAAATAAAACAAAGAGAGAATGCCTGGCAAACAATAGCAGACCGATTGAATGCTAAGTCCATAAATAACCACACTCTAAAAAATGCTGGGTTGTTTTAACCCAATTTTGGGTCAAATATGGACAAACCCAAATGTTGGATTTAAAAATGCAATTAATAAATTTAACCCAACAGCTGGGTTTGTCCATATTTGACCCAAAATTGGTTTAAAACAACCCAGCATTTGAGTGTGCAGTTGTGATGCCGGTACAGTGGTGTGGCAGAAACACGGGAAGGAGGCTGGATCCAAACGCAGTGTATAGGCTTTATTTAGACAAACTACATATTTCAACAAAGACTCAGAAACAGGACTCAGACACAGGAGCGATTAACATCGACCTCACACGTTCAACACTCACAAACTAAGACGGAAACACAGGGCTTAAATAATCAGACAAGCAAACTTAACAAGGTAACAAGGGGCGTGGACTATGGGAAACACCTGGAAAACTCAATAGAGAGGGAACCACTAATAATACAAAGACAAAGACAAAGATACAAAACCACATCATGACAGCAGTGCTCCACTGTAACCCTCATAATTACAATTCGAGGAGTTACTTGTCATTTAAAAAAATAATTGTATATTTTGCCTTAAATGTGACCAGTGGACATACATTTAACATGAAGAATAATTGCAAACAATTACCCACTATGTGTAGGCCTATTTTTGATGTATTTAGTTTCTTTTATGTCTATTTTCTCTTTAATCTTTTTACTCTTATGTATTTCTATGTAGGTTTTTTTTCTAATTGATTTAATGTAATCTGTAATCAGATATTTTGCTCTATTTTTCTCCATCTAATCTATTGTATCATTTGTATCTATTCCTCTTAAAGAACAAACATGTCTGGCCAAAAAAGGACTTGGCAGAAAGTCAAGATTAAATACAAGAATATTTTGCAGGCTGGTAAGTGACTTGTCTGCAGAGAACATGATGATATGTTTGCTGACATTTAATCGTCTGTGCTGATTTTAGCAATAAAAATATCTGGTATGGGGGTGGCCCTCCAACCCAAGACTTCACCACAGCAGAGGAGCTGGCCCTATAAAGGGAAGCCAGTGATTCCAATGGGTCTGCCCTATATCTCGGAAGACTCTTTCATGCCTGAATGCTCGTCTGAGTATTAAAACTTCCTCATCAACTACATCATTCAACAAAGGACAAGCCATTGTGAATAGGAAAAACAAATCTTTAGTCTGTATATACTACATATTGACCTTGTTGTTACATGAAACCACATTTACGACTTAATGAGCCATTTCTTATCTCATCAACTGCAATAAAATAGCCTATAATTTTTTATCATTCAACTATACATTTCTACTCTATATTTCCATAGATATACATAGGCTATATTCTATTTCTCATATTGTATAGTATAGTTCTTTTGCACTGTGTTGGCATTGTGAACAGCAAAGTTATAATTGCTCAGGAAAATCTGCTTTCCTCACTGCAGGTGTACGCCAATAAACGCTTTGAATCTCAAATAATATTCATCAAACCTCTGAAAGTGAAATGAACAGCAGTTTTTAATAATAACTAAAATAGCAGTAGCCTACGCATTCTTATGTAACCTCAGGGGGGTCTATTGCAACCAAATAATCATGGCTAAGCGACCGTAAGAATTTCAAATGTTTACCAGCAGGCTATCCCAATAAAGGGAAATACAAAGAGAGAGAGAGAGAGAGAGAGAGAGAGAGAGAGAGAGAGAGACTGGAGTATTATAAAAACAGAAAATTTATTTATTTCCCCTTTTCTTTGGCTCAATGGACTCACAACATGAAACAGTATTCAAAGGACATTAGGCCTCTGGGCAACAGAGTCAGGGACAACAAAATCCAAAATCAAAGTGTTTAAATAACTCAAAAACAAAATACAACAAACCCAAAATTGATAAGGCATGTCACAAAATCACATGCGCAAATATAACCCAAAAGAAAATAATTCACACTAGACAAACCAGTGGCCACACAACAAAATTGTTATCCCCCCTACCCAGGATATTGCACCAACCCAATGGCCTAAAATACACACATTACATAACACACAACATACATCAACACACCAGGGGGAGGCTCATAGGCAACTTAATAGACGGTTCTTCCCCACGTACACACACACACACGGAGCTGAATCCTAAAAACAAGAGCACAGGAAAAACAGTGGCCAGGACAGCATATGTCGCTCCTCCTGCAAAGAACAATTACAATGTTACATAATTATACAGGTCGGCATCACAACTATGCCTAATTTGTAACCTGTGCACCAATGGGCTGGGAATTATTTAAGCTGTAAAAAGTTAAGCTGAACAATCAGAGCGGGGCAAGAGGCTAAAGTAGCCTAAAACACTAACCTGTATGAACAGACCACAGCATCAAGCCAAAAGCTTGGTTATTTATAATACTGTAGCAGTCACTTTACTCCGTCTGGTTTTTACTTGAACATTCCCAAACCAAACTATAATAAAGAAACATTGCAAATCAACAGAACTACATACATAAACGTTCCATGAAGATGTACAAACGTGAAGGAGAAAGGAAGCCAATAAACTTACGTTCTCAGCACAACAAACGCACTCGGCAAACTTGTAGTGATCACTCTAAACCCGGAACTAATAAACAAAACATTAAATCAATAAAAGCTCATTACAGCAAGTACCTAAAAAACAGAGAGACAAACGCTGCTCAATAAAAACAAGAGACTTACGTCCTCGTTGAAGCACGCCAACACAAATCGCAGCCGATGAGGGCTCGCAAAGACAGGACACTAGCAGCACCCACGGCACTGGGTAATCGCACAACCACCAGATGAGGCTATGAAACAATGTAATCATCTGAATCAAAATCACATATGCCAACGAGGTTTGATCTCACAATACATTTAAACATGAACTCACGTCAACTCGTACACTCAGCCAAGAGCCCAAGGAAGCAACAGTCTGTGACAGCACAAAATCGGAAAAACGCCAGCTTGCTGGATTTAAAGGTGTAGCGCCAAACAACCCCCACCTGATTCAATCAAGCGCAATTCTCATGGAACACACCCCACTCGCTACACTTACCCCCCCTTGAATGTCACCGTCCCGGTGACCGAAACAAAAGGTCAAACCCAAGGCCTAAAAACAGCACTATGGGATGAAATGGTTAAAGTGCTTTCTGTCGCAGGTGCAGGGGATCTAACAGTCGTACATGGGAGGTTGTAAGGATTAGGATGGTGGCCTGCATTTGTTCTGGCAGTTCTCCTTGATACAAGGGTATTGCCAGATGTCGCTACTTCCCCTTCAACACCCAAAGAGTCACGTATTGAGTGCTGAGGTATAATTGATCCCTGCTGCTCAAGAGCTGAAGGTTGCAACACCCCAGACTCCGTGGGAGATGTTGGTCCTCTTACAGGAGGTGCATCGATTGCCACCAATACTCCAAAATCATCAGACTCATCCAGACTACCACCAGCATCATCCTCTATGACATTTGGCATGCTTACATTCAGCACCTCACCCCCTACCACAAGATAGGGTGAACCTGGATCCGTTGGAAGGGGCCACAGTTCTTTCCGGTTGATATTTTTCTCGTGACCTAACTGATCCCTTGGCCTAATTTTATAGAGTGTACCAACCTCATCAAGGCACCTCACAATGTCATACACTACATCTCCCCAATGATCACTAATTTTGTGCCGTCCCTGTGGGTGACTGCGACGATACACCAGTGTACCAGGGGGTAGGAGTGGCAAGGGAATCGATTGATTCTTTGCTCGTTGTTGAGCAGCTGCCTCTAAATGCGCTCGGGCCTGGCTATAAATTACAGAGAGATGCTCCTGATGTTCTTGGACCCACTCGGAAGTAGTAGTAGTGGTAGAGTCTAACGGGGTATCGATGGTACCCAGAAAAGAATCAAGTGGAAGAGTGGGTTTACGCCCAAACATCAGTTCATACGGGGAGAACCCCGTAGACTGATGGACTGTGGTGTTGTAAGCAAACAAAACCTGTGGCAGATGGTAGGGCCACCGTCTCTTCTTATCCGGAGGTAGTGTGCGAAGCAAGTCATGCAATGTGCGATTAAATCTCTCACACTGTCCATTACCCTCTGGATGATATGGGCTAGTGCGGGATTTACGAATTCCATACACTCTGCACAATTGTTGGAGCAGCTCCCCTTCAAAATTGCGCCCTTGGTCAGTTTGAATGCGTAGTGGGACACCATAAGTATAAAACCACTGCTCTGTCAAGACTCGAGCTACGGTTGATGACCTCTGGTCTACAGTAGGATATGCCTGCGAGAATTTAGAGAACACATCCGTCACAACCAAAAGATTCTCTTTCCCATAACTTGATTTCTCCAATATGGAAAAGTCAATGGCTACTATTTCTAAGGGCCTTGATGCCATCAGGTTACCCATAAAGGTCCTCAATTTTGGCTGAGTTGCCTTAGCCACCACACACCGCCGACATTCACGACACCACCGGTCTACATCCTTTCGCATAAAAGGCCAATAGCATCGCTGGCGGACGAGACTGACTGTTCTTTCCACCCCTTGGTGGCCATGATCATCATGCAAAGCCGTGAGTACTTCTGTCTGAAGAGCCTGGGGCAGCAGTAACTGCACAACCCCTTTCGTACTACCAGGGACATGCGTCTTCCTATACAAGACCCACTCATAAACTACTAGATTTGCCCATTGACGAACAACCTCCACAACAGCCGGGGGCTCAGTAGACCTCTCTGCGGCTGTAGGGGGACTGCCCCTCTTCCAATATACCAGGAAGGCCTTCAAAACAGGGTCTTCAGCCTGCAAAACTTGGAGATTGGCCTTAGTTCTCGTAGGGCATGCATCTATAGCCTGTATTTCAATCGAAGGGGACACGACCACACTCTTAATCTCAGCTGGCACAGAGATTCCCGAAGCCATCTCCTTCATAGAGACTAAGGCTGGTGGTGCCGGCAAGCGGGATAGCGCATCCGCATTCTTGTTACATGTACCAGGGCGATACTCGATGGTAAAATCAAAAAGTGCTAATTGCGCAGCCCAACGTTGCTCCACGGCTCCTAATTTAGCTGTCCGCAAGTAACAGAGCGGGTTGTTATCAGTCAGAACAGTAAATTTAGCACCCAGCAGATAATCCCGAAACTTATCTGTTACTGCCCACTTAAGTGCCAACAATTCAAGTTTCATGGCAGAGTAATTATCCATGTTACGCTCAGTTAGTCGCAAGCCCCTGCTTGCATAAGCGACTGGACGGCGCAGTCCTCCATCCTGCTCTTGGGACAAAACTGCCCCGAGACCCAGCCCACTAGCATCTACCTCAAGGACAAATGGTTTACTAAAATTGGCATAACCCAGAACTGGTGCACTTATCAATTTGTCCCTCAAAGTATTAAATGCTTGATCACAGCCCCAGTCCCAATGCTCCCGCAAAGTGGCACTATGCCCCGGCCTATTCCTTTTAGGGTGTGGCTGCAGCTTTGCCACCAATTTATGCAGAGGAGCTGCGTACCTAGCAAACCCCTGCACAAAACGCCGATAATACGACGCAAACCCAAGGAATGATCGCAGTTCGGCAACTGTCGAGGGAGTCCTCCAATCCCTAACTGCACTGATCTTGTCCGGATCTGTAGAGACCCCGGAGGCTGAAACAACATGGCCCAAGAACTTCACTTCAGGCTGAAAGAAATGACATTTCTTTAGTTTGAGCTTAAGACCGTGCTCGCGTAGACGACTAAATACCGACTCCAAACGATCCAGATGCTGTTTAAACGTAGATGAAAAGATGACCACATCATCCAAGTACAGAAGAAGGGAATGAAAACGCTGGTCCCCAAATATCCTTTCCATCAGCCGCTGGAAGGTCCCGGGTGCATTGCACAACCCATATGGCATCCTCTGGAACTCAAATAAGCCAAATGGCGTGCAAAAAGCGGTCTTAGCCCGGTCCCTCTCAGCGACTGACACCTGATTATAACCACTCGCAAGGTCCAGAGTGGAAAAGAGAGATGCTCCTGTAAGGGCGTCCAAAGACTCCTCAATTCTCGGCAATGGGAAGGCATCTTTCCTTGTCTTTGCATTTAATTGCCTATAGTCAACACAAAGACGAATAGATCCATCTTTTTTTCCACAACCACGATGGGTGAAGAATAAGGACTACAACTTGGTTTTACCACTCCCTGATCTAACAGCTCCTGAATATGTGCTTTCACCACATCATACTGGGATGGTGGGAGTCGTCTGTAACGCTGCAGCACCGGAGTGTTATCAATCAAAGGAATCTCGTGCTCAATCAAGTCAGTACAACCTAAAGGTGCCTCACTACAACTAAAGGTATCACTATACTTCTGAAGTAAGGACTTTGCTTCCTGTTGCTCGGAATCAGATAAATTAGGCCAGGAAAGATCTGCAAACCCCAACAGTGGAGTTATAGCCACCTCCGTCGAACGAATGAAGGCAACGGGGCCTTGGGTACCATTCTCCTCCTGAAAGCAGATGGATTTGTTAGCAGAACGGGCAGTGATCAAATACATTTCTCCCAACAGGGTACGTGGTTTTATCCACCGGTCTACCTGGCCCACATTAACAACTGGCACTTGTACCATACCATTTCCCATGGGGAGCAATGAAATTGGAACAATTAAATCTGGTGGCAACTGCCACCCTGCCTCTACTGGTTCCAACAATACAGAAGGAATCAATGGGCCAAGCCCCTGCCTACAGGTGGCTAACACAAACTTTAAGGATCCAGCTGGGACACAGGTGGAGGACCCAGGAGCGGTCAGAACCCTACCCAGAACACCAGACGTCGAAAACGCTTCCAGGCGTTGACACGCTAATAAGGCATGTTCCCAAACGGCTGGGACTGTTATCCCAGAAGTAAACAGATCTACACCATCTTGGCAAAAAAACTTTTGCAAACAGCAACGGAGAACATTCATCCAGATCAATCCTGGGACCGAGTCCTTGCTTGTCTTAAGCCTAGACTCAGGTGGATCCTGAACCACCAAAACTCCTATAGAAGGAAGAACTTTCCCCAAAACTTCTACGTCCAATTCCAAGTAGCCTCGATATGGGATATCTAAGCCGTTAGCCGGTTTCAACTGTAACCAACCACAAGAACGTAACTGGTCACACCCCAGGACTCGAAAATGGTTATTAAAGAAGGACTCTGTAAGTATCTATAAGACAAGTAACATTTACCCCGTTCATCCGAACATCTGCCACAGGGCACTCGCCCACCAATGCCGAAGGACAAGGAAAAAGAGATGTAAAAGAATGTGAGCCCATCGAACCCCCTTCCAGTGCTTGGCTCCATGCACTAGAGGGTGCTAGTTTCCCTTCTGCCGGCCAGAAAAATCGTTTCCACCGTTTCCAACAGGCGGCCTGGGACCAACCCCCACACGCTGTGCCTGCCGTGAGCCAACCGGGCAATCCCTAGCCATATGGCCTACTTGCTCACAGCGCAGACAAATAGGTCTGCCATCCACATCAAAACGAAAACGCCTCTGATAATTGGTCTGCCTATTAGGTGGGTTAAGTGACCCTGAGCCAGGGGACAAATGTTTAAGAATGGCATCTAATTGGGCCTGCTGCCTACGCAAACAATCCTTGAGCTCGGTCAATTCATTACTTGGTTGTGCTACCACGGCCTGGGCTTCTGCCTGCCATGGCCCCACCGCTCTTGGACTGGCATCACACGAAAAAGCCCTTGCTCGAACCGGGCGAGGCCCCTCACCATCATCAGCCCAACGAAATGCCTCCCGACGCAAGTCTAAAAAGGAGGAATCAGGATTTAAGCGGATGTATC